GCATTTAAATGTCCTGCAGACTCTGTTTGTTTGGTGTAGGTAGAGAGGAGAGGACTTGGAAAAAACCTGGAGAAAGATCAGGATCTGCCTGCGAGCGACTTGCTTGCTGCATGGTCCAATTATCTTCTCTATCATGCTGTCACACATAACTGGTTTAGAGGGAGACACTGGCTCGCCACACACTCTCAATCGTCCTGAATAATCAACACAGACGGCCCAAACACGATATATAAGCAGCTCTCACCCGCCTACTTCCTCAGCATGGGCCCAAACACACACAGCCTGCCCATCGCATCTGTTCACAAGACACCCTCGCTTAGAAAAAAAAAAAAAAAAAAAGAGTCTGTACATCCTACCTCCATCTCTACAGCAACATTTCAACCACTATAGCTTCAATAGATGTGATGAGATCAGGAAAGAAGAGGTTCTGTGGAGTACAAAAGCTGTGTGTGGGCCTCAAACAGTGGCTGTAACCCTGCTGGTGAGACTGGGACAATACAGAGTGGAGCCTGGACATGTGCTGCAGACAGACACAATGGGCCTGAAAGGAGTCTCAGTCACAAAAAACACAAAGAAAGTAGGTGAAATCACAGCTAAACAGCCTTTACAGCGCCTTCTGTCACATGCATCTGCCAAACAACCTTTCATTCCCAATGAGCTGCTGTTGGGAAAAAAAACTCCTCCTGTGCAGACTGGTACATATGATCACCAATACATTTGATGTTTTCTGCAAACAAGCCTCATTTTCCACACAATATGCTATCTCGAAAGCCAGAAATTGATGAGAATAGCCCTTTAAAGCTCAAAGTTGAATCTAAAAGAGATGGGAAAAGACCCACTGTGCGCGTACAATGGTTTACAGAGAGCTTTTGTCCTTTTGTGTGTGAGTGTTTTGAGAAATACAGTTGGCATGTGGCACACTGCGTTCAAACTGTGCGTAAAGGACAGAGGGAAACAGACAGCGCTTGTTTGTTACTCACGGGTGCCATCAAAGCGCGTGGCGATGGTGTCCAGGAAGGTGTTTTGCGGGGCCAGCAGCCCTCTCATCACCGGCATCCTGCTCCGGGTGGACTGGGTCCTCCTGCCTCGGCGTCCCGGGGCAGAGCTAGACTCCTGCTCGGACCCGAAACTTGGCAGGAAACGAGAGGTACCCGGTGCGCATCCCAGCCCCTGGAGAAGCGCACCGATCCGAGATACGCGCGGTGGCTCCACCTTGGCACCGCGGGGGTTGTGACCATAATCAACTCAGCAGAGAGCGAATATCAGCCGTGGGATGCACCTGTGCACCTTCCAGCGAGAGGAAAACACGTGAAAACTGCCAGTGTGTATGTGTGCAGAAGCAGGTGCGCTGCAGAGGGAGGCGGATGGATGGAGAGCAAGTTTTTGGTGCTGATGGTGCGTGGAGAGAATCTTATCGCTGCAAGCTCCTCCTCAGCTCTCTCCCCCACTCTCTCTCTCTACTATCTCTCTTTCTCTCTCTCCCTGGTTGCGTGGTAATCTTTCCACAACTGAGAGCAGATGCAGAGTCACATGACGCCTCTCAGGTCTGGCCAAGCCGTGGTCCTCCCTCAAAGTGGAGGTGGGAGACAAAGAAGAAGGAAGGGGGCTGTTTTGGAGAGCTGGTCGCCTTTCTCCTGATATGAGGCGGTCTGTGGGGAGAAACAAGTAATAACAAAAACGAGAGTAAGTCGAGAAAACCCAAAGGTGGAGTTAGCATAAAGAAAATACAGTTTTTATTTTTATAATTAGCTCAGGGCTTATTAAGAGAACCATAAGAAATAAATAAAACCTTATTCTTTCTGCAGAAACCCCAAACCAGCATCAAAAGTTATGAATGAAACATGATCCCTAGTTGAATATTTGTTTTTAATAGAAAATTTTCTACGGTAAAGAAACCATGATGACTGACTGCTGCTCTTTCTTCTCAGCTCTCCTCAGGACCACATGGCAGCCTGAGCCGCTCAGCTCCCCCTGCACAGGGAGAGTCTGCCCTCTTCTGGTCACACAGCGCTAATTCAACTCACAGTTTCCTTTGTTTGCCTATAGCACCCTAATGGAAGAGCTTTGTTTGGATATAATCAATACCTGTAAGATTGAGCCCTTCATTTAAACTGTGGCATAAATGAATAAAAGAATGTCTTCTCTAGAACCTTCATGTTTGGAAACACACTGTGGTTGTATCCTCTTGGATGCCTGTACCAAATAAAACATGTTACAGTGCTTTCTCTGGTGCCATTTTCATTGGAGGTGCATAAAAACTGCTTTCTAGCTGCTCCTGTAAAAGGATAAAACATGCCAAACTGCCCTGTCAATGCTCTTCCAGTATGTAAAGTGAATTTAAGAGTACCATCGGGATGTCTTTCTATGGAATACATAAAAAGTGCTGTTAAAATGCTCTTTCAGTGTATAAATAGACAATGTAAGCCCTCTAGATTCCCCATCCACCATATAAATTATTGAAAAAAAAGTAACATCTGGTTGTTAAAATGTGTCTTCTGGACATCTTTTTAGGATATAAAATGAAAAAGATGTTCCCTAAATGTCCCTCCAGTGCATATAATAAAAAAAAAACAGCACCCTTCAAATGACCTTTTAGCGCTCGAGTTGAAAATGCCCTCTGGATGCCCTTTCAGTGTACAAAACTGTTTTACAAAAGGGTAACAAAGAGAGACAGACAAGTGAAGACCTAAAACTGGTCTTCAAAAAGGTGCCCGAGGCAGATCTTCTTCAATAACTTTCTGTGCGTCGGTGCCACAGGGCCTACACCAGGAGGAGCCATTTTGATTTTCTCATCCTACCCCTCAAAGAGCCTGCCAGGCAGCTCAGCTGGTTGAACTTTCTCTTGAACAGTATCCTCTGATGCTAAAACACTTTTGTCCACCAAAGAAAAGCATGACTTAACGTTTTGTTACTTTAAGTTTTCTTTAACTTTCCACAAGAGGCCAAACCTTCTTTTCTCTCATGGAGGCTGTTGAGTTTTCTCAGACCATTATCATTAAAGCAGAAAGATTATTGTTTTTTCATTCTTAACTTTTAGCAAACCAATGAGAGAAACAGCTTTATTAACCTCCCTCACAAACATGTGCAGAAGCTGATGTTAAAGGAGGATTTGTTTGGAACTTGGTTCTTAGTTTCTATTTATGGTGAGCAAAATTAAGCATTTCAGTGAAACCAAACCAGACCAAATCTGACAATGTCCTGTATCAGATTTTAGATTTACAGGACATGCAATCATGAAGTCTGGAAAAGAAAGGAGCAGTGTGTGACTGACCTTTGTGCGGGTTGCTGATCTTCATGGTGGTAAAGTGTTCATCCACCACATCATTTGATTTCCTGCTTGACTTTGCATCAAATATCCACAGGTCTTCGTTCCACTCCTGTTTCTGCTCTGAGTCCAGCCACACCATTTTTAAAGAAAGCACAGTAGTAACTTTTGATGAAGGTCTGCATGGAAGTCTACCAAAGTTTAATGTGGACAGAGACATATGGTGGGCCACTGGAGGTGAATGGTTGCAGTATCAGGTGTAAAACTTCTTCCTCTGTTGAGTTTTCCTGCAGTTGGCAACTACTGTCTTTGCATTCCTACCTGCTACTTGTTTTATCTACTTTGGATTAGTTTGACCAATGCAGAGACATTTGTTTGGTCCATTTAAAGTGCTCCATTTCAAAATCAGGCCAGGCTCCTCCTATTTCCTGCTCCACCTCAGAAAGCTCCTCCTCCAGACCTGGGGTGCATTCAAGTCTGCAAAAGCAAAATGTATCAGTTTTGTTCTGGTAACTGTTGCCAGGTCAATATTAAAGCTTCTGTGAGAAGTTAATAAAATACAGTGAAATCCAAAAAAAATGCTCCTTTGTGACATTCAAAAACAAATAAGACCATCAGCACCAAGATTCAAGATTTTTATACCATAATTTTAAAAGTCTAGAACCAGTATGGCTAAAGAAACAAGGTTTTTTTCTGCTACTCCAGGGCTCATTCTGTACAATTACAAAGAAAGGGAACATTCAAATGCCGCGATATACATAAACGTTCAAATCTAACTTATATTTCTCATTTTTTGCAGGTTTTTTAAAGGGCAAATGACTTGACCTTGATTGCAGGTTCTAAAATCCTCTAGAAATCAACCCAGTCCTCCTTATAAAGTTCTGATTCTCTTCTCAAAGTTTTAAAATTAACTCTTATCATCTTGAAATTTACTGAGTATATTCTCAAAATGTTGTAATTTCATCCAGTCTCTTAATATCAATCCCTAACTGTGTTGTGGATGAAAAGTTGCGAATCAATTTTTATTCCGTCTGCAGAAGATGCCTCTCAGATACCCAATGCAAAGAAGTTATATTTTATAAATGCTTACAAAAGGATGAAAACCAAATTATGACTTATTACCATGACTTTCGTGATTGAAAGTGAGCAGCTGATCATAGGACATCTGATCTAATTTGCACAGTTAATTGGCCTCAATAGCAGCAATGTTACTGAGATAGTTTTGCTTTTTTCCAACTTTTTCTTTCCATCCTTGGGGCGAATTTTTTTATTATTTACAAGTAAGTCAGATGTCTGACTGAATGGTTGGCATTGATTAAGCTTCCATGGTCTTGAACTGATATGACAGTACAGGCATGAAAACGGCAGTTTGACTTTATACTTTGTAGACAGACTTTAATACTTTCAAACACAATTCATTCATTTAAAATGATTTAAAAAATGAAAGGTATTCAGTCTTACATATTCTATAGCAATAATTTCATGTTCAATTTAATGACCAAATGGTCTGCATTTCTATCAAAATGGGAATAGTACAAATTGTCTTTTTTAAGAACTGGGAGGGGGCTACATAACAATCAATGAACTGTTATGTGATACATCCCTGTTGTACAAGGCGGAAGAAGGCAACTGAATTGGACCAATCAGCACGCCGTTTTTACCAGCCCTTCCCTAAAGTATAACGCCCCTCCTGTTGTGTGGGCTCACCTGATTGGTGGCTGGTTTTTCCTCTCTTTTTTGATTGGATCATATCCTTCCCGTGATCCCTGGAGGTGGAAGCCGGGTACCTGCCGATCCACTGCTAGGCTGAACAGCTTTGAGCTCCAGCAACACGGAACAGAATATCAGTCTGCCTCCCCGTCCTTCTGTTGTGTGCTTCGTGGACATTTAAACGACATAAGGTAGGCGTTTGTTATGTGTCATTTAAGGCCATATACTCGTGAAGTAATTCGCGACGTAATGTTAGCTGAAGACGATCTTCATTGACGTACTCTACCGGTGTTGTGGTTTAATATGTTACCCTAAACTGGCGGCTTCCAGTCGAATACACTTGTGGTTACAACCGCAAACATCCTTCCGGCTGCCTTTTTATTTGGTGTTAATTAAAAACATTTCCAATTAGTATAACTTTAAACCACACAAAAAAGATTAAACAAAAGAGCAAAGTAACATGGTGTCAGTTTAACTGCTGTCATAAATACGGCAACCGTAGAAAGTCACCACTTGACAGGGTCACACTTAGAACCGAAACACCGGTTAACCACAGTTAGGCCAAAAACGTTAAAATATAACGAAAATTAAGCAAGTAAATGACTTATTTGCCATATTCGCGTGAATATAACACAGGCATGGGGGATTTTTTCAGAAACAATGAAAAACTGACATTCAGAATGCCATTAAGGGCCATAGTTTAATGAAAATCCTTCCTGTTTTCTTGTGGTATTGTGTCATTTCTTGTGTCATTTAAAGCACTATGAAACGATGTGGTAACGGTTTGCACTCTTCGTTTGGCCTTTAGCCGGACTGCCTCTGTGTTTGAAAAGTGTCCTCCCAATCATGCGATCATCATCATGTCTGTCCACTTATGTAACATTTCCAAAAATGGCAAAAATGCCCAAGTTTCGAGGCATTTCAGAATTAAAAAGTGTCATTAATCGAGGAAAATCATGGGAATAAACATACATGCATACACCGAATAGGGTCCCATCTTTATAAGACACACCCTGTTAGATATTTAATCTGTTTTTTTAATTAAAGCTGCAGACAAAGTGGACTCAGGGTGGATTAAGTTAGAGTGCATTGGTTAATCATGTGCAGCAGGGTGGTGGTTTAAGGTGATCACAGAGTTTACAGAGTACAGCATGAATGCTGAGTCACTGCTCTGACTGCTCCAGTTTTATCATATGAATGAATTCATTCATTGATACTGTAGTAACACACAAAGAGATTTCTTCAGCTGTGGTATCAGTGTCACTTATTTAAGAGCTGCAGCCACTACATTTTCAGCTGAATTACTGTGTTTTTTTACATTTTTTTTTCATGCAGAACATTTTCTTTTCATTGAGTAGTTGTAAGAAACTCTTTATTCAGCAGTTTCCACGTTACACCCAGTTTACTACAGGATAATAATATGTGTAGTAAATACTTAGCAGTCTTTTGGCCAAGTTGGCACATTTCCTAGATGTGTAATGCTGAAGTTAAACTCAAGCTCTAGCTGATTACTGATCAAATCACATTAACCACACACTACACAGTAATAGTAAATTTATGGCACTCCAAAAATCACTTAATCAGTCTTTTACCTTGTAGGTGTTTTTTTTTTTCATCACAAGACTTTTGCACTTTTGCACATAGTAAAGGATGGCACTAATGTGACCTGAAAGTATCTCATAGTATCTCTATTTGTCTCTCCTCTCCAGCTTCATCATGTCTCAGAAGATTAAGGCCGGCTCGGTGGTGGAGATGCAGGGAGACGAAATGACTCGTGTCATCTGGGAGCTCATCAAGGACAAACTCATCTTCCCGTACCTGGAGCTCGACCTGCACAGGTGAGGGGACACCTGTATAAGACACCCTGCTTAGACCAGGGATTCTGGGCTCTTGATCTCCTAGCAGGAATGACTTAATGAAACTGATTCAAGAGAAAAGGATGTGGGAGTTCCTGCTGTGCTGGGGTGTCTGGCTCTTCTTGTTTATCCTGATACCCCCAATGGAGATTAGGGAAAGCTGAAAATCAACTATATAATTAGCCACCAATAAGAAGGAGTTTGGAGGCTGAGGACTCCACCCATATCCACAACAAAGGATCTCCACACAGCAGCAGTCGGTGTATTACATAACCTCAACTATGCTGGTAGATGTTAGATACATGTTACAATCTCTGTGAGAGTTAATGGCCCTGCTACAACCTCCAACCTTACTGTGGAGGCTTCATAAAGGCTTCGATTTCAACAGCTGATTGGCTGCTGTTCTCATATTTTTAATTTATGGAAAAATGAGACAGTTTCCTTTTTGTCCCTCCAACCTTCAGCCTACCTCTAGACAAGCAAACACAAATCCACATCTATATAATCAAAAGGTCAATATTTACCATCACCAATCAGCGCACTTACCCCTCATGTTATCTCTTGTGCGTACTTTGATCTCTGCGTTATATTTCATCTACTAACCTTTATGAAAAGTCCAAGTAAATAATATTCCCTTTACTTTAAATGAATCTTATCTAAATCTGAGACTCATAACCTTCATCATAGATATCTCAGTAAGACAGATATGAAACTTTTTAAGAGGGTTTTTTCCTACTCTGTTGTTTTGACTCGTATAAGTTAATATTTATCTCGCAGCATGTTGTGCACATTTGCTTTGATTTGGTGTTGAAATAACTAGTCGATCGTAAACAGACCTTGCATGATCAGGTGGATAAAACTTATTGTGAGTCAGTCTGTCAGTGTGTACTGCTCGCATACGTGATGTGAGAGTGTCTCTGAGGGCACAGATTAAATCTGATTCAGGTTTTCTCTGTCAGGGAGCGAAGGAGGAATGCACCTTCCCTCTTGTTAAACCTGAACCTGTTTGTCAGAGATCTCTCTCTCTCTCTCTTTGTCTTTCCTCAGTGGTGTGTTTCAGTTGTTAAGGGTTGTGTTGTTGTGGTTTGGTCTTGGCCTTTGGGGGAAGGGAAAAGGATAAGTGGGTAAAAGGTCACATCTGCCGTTTCCAAACAATGCCAAACTGTGCACGGGACAAACTTACAAGCTAATACTTCAGGGGAATGATAAGCACATTGAGCTCAGTCTAGATTTCAGTTGTAGTACACCTCTTTCTCTGAATAGTTACATAGTTGATCACAAGTGCCACAAGTGCAGCTAGCTCTCTTGTAGTTGTAATTGCACAATCGATTCCTTGTTTCCCTCATCTTTGAGTCTTTGTGTTACGGGCTGGTTTTGCACATCTCTGTCCCTGTCACAGGCTTCAAAAGAAGAAGAAGAGTCAGCTTCTCTCTGTGACAGAAGTGGGGCAGGAGGTTAATGTCTTTTCTTGATCCCGACTCATAACATACCAGCCGAGAAATAAAGGAAATGAAGCTGTTTGAGTTATCTCTGTGGATGTCGAAATCTCCCTTTTGACTCAGAGCTGTTGTTCCACACTGCAGCCGTTCTGTGTTTTATCATTCACTGAGCAGCTTCTAGACGACTAAAACATCAACATATGTTCACTTTGAGATCGGCTGCAGGCCTCTGTGCAGATCTGGACACTGAAGCGTAAATAATCACTGCTCTTCTTGTTTATGGTGCCAAATTCCTCTGCGGTTAGGATCATAAATGGACCCCATCTTTGTTTGGTCCATTTCATCCCCCTTGTGACTCTGATGCTCACAAAACTGCTGACACTGACTGTTTTTGTGTTTGTTGCTCTATTAACTGTCCAAAATCTTAAGAAAACATAAAGCACTGTTTCCTAATGGTTACTGTTAGATCAGAAGAGCCTAACCCTGTCTGAGAAGCTTGAGAATGATACACCAAGTTTACTAGTATTCGACTAACTAATAATATTAAACTCTTTTTGTGCACAGCTACGACCTCAGTATGGAGAACAGAGATGCCACGGACGACAAGGTGACAGTCGAGGCGGCAGAGGCGATCAAGCTCTACAACGTCGGAATCAAGTGTGCCACCATCACACCGGACGAGAAGCGTGTGGAGGAGTTCAAGCTCAAGCAGATGTGGCGTTCCCCCAACGGAACCATCCGTAACATCCTGGGAGGAACCGTGTTCAGAGAGGCCATCATCTGCAAGAACATCCCCCGTTTGGTGCCCGGCTGGCTCAAACCCATCATCATTGGAAGGCACGCCCACGGAGATCAGGTCAGTCTAGATAGAATGACTTCTAGCTGTCCAAAATTTGGTGTGTAAGATACGCATCTATTACTGTTTTTGACATAAAAAGTGAGTTGCAGCTTAAACACTAGTGTGACTGCAAACTGGTGTGAAAGTAGAGTTATGTTTTCCATGGTTTGAGGGTTTTCTTGCCTGAAGATAGTGCTGAAAGAAGCAAGCTGCCACTTAGCCTTGCAAAGCATGATGGATACACAGTGAGGCGGTCACCTACCCGCTCATTTTCTAACATAAATCATCATTTTAACTGAGGATTCGTTTCCAGGAAATCGCCGTGTCAAGCACACCGTTGATTTGACGCGCTCACGAATGAGTTCAGAGCGTTCAGGTCCTCAGGTTATCAGCAGAGACCCCTTCAGTAATCATATTTCAAAAGCCGTCCTTTGGACCATAAGCTCAGCCCATACAGTTAAACATGTTACAGCAGCATTCAGGAGTAAATCACTGTTAGCCTGTGGCGTTCTGCCAGAATCAACAACTCCTCTCTCAGAGGAGATAAACCAGGTGAAATGTCAAAGAGCTGAGAGTTACGTAATACTCCTGCATGTCAGAGGTATGAATGTTTGAAATTGAGCTGTCAGAAAAGAACAGGTGAAGACAGAGTTTTGCTCAGGTGTTTATAACTGTCTCTGTGGTTACAAGTGGATCAAACAGCAGTGGTGCTTTCTAATAAAATTTATATTAACTTATAGTTTTTCTCTCCACAGTACAAAGCAACAGACTTTGTGGTCCCTGGTCCTGGAAAGGTTGAGATGACCTACACGCCGCAGAATGGAGAGCCAGTTAAATATCTGATCTACGAGTTCCCGGGTAAGAATACACACAGATCTGTTCACTGACTGCCTGAGATAATCTGGTTACTCAGGCCGGACGGTAAAATGATCCTACCAAACAAAAAAGCCTGTACTTGATACTTTTTTAGAGCTCGTGTGAAAAGCAAAAAGCCAGTAGTAGATGTCACGAAATACTTGAGGGTTTTATTTGTGAAATAAAAAGTTTTCTCTTCTTTTCTCTCAAAACATAAAACCTTTATTCCAATAACATTCACTCCTTTATTCAATTAAATGTTTTTATTACTTAATAAGAGAACAGGATTATTCATATACACGAAGAGATCAGCAAAGAGGTAAAAAATCCCACTTTGTCCACAAGGGGGTGCCAAAATAGAACTTTTTGAAGAATTTAATCACTTAGATTACTTTACCTACCTTATCCCCAAACCTACTGCTGATTTTAGCCAGCTGTGATATATCAATCTGGTTGTGATGCAAATGTACCTCATGTTTGGATTTCTGTTCATGCAGAAACGGGTGGTGTCGCCATGGGGATGTACAACACAGATAAGTCCATCACAGACTTTGCACACAGCTCTTTCCAGATGGCTCTGTCCAAGATCTGGCCTCTGTACCTCAGCACCAAGAACACCATCCTGAAGAAGTACGACGGGCGCTTCAAAGACATCTTCCAGGAGATCTACGAGAAGTACGCAGTTTTAATAATTCACATGCAGAATAGTTCGAACATGCAAAGCATCTCATAAATCACTGCTTTAACTGTGCTGTCCTCTTTTTGTGTGCAGGGAATACCGCCCCCAGTTTGAGGCTAAAGGCATCTGGTATGAGCACCGTCTGATTGACGACATGGTGGCCCAGGCCATGAAATCTGAGGGGGGCTTCATCTGGGCCTGCAAGAACTACGATGGAGACGTGCAGTCAGACTCTGTGGCACAAGGTCAGTGGAGAGAAAACGCTTCATTCAGGGGTTATGAAAACCCACGCTGACTCCTATTTAAGTGGAAAACTACACTCTGTGACTCTGTTCCAGGTTATGGCTCTCTGGGTATGATGACCAGCGTGTTGATTTGTCCTGATGGAAAAACAGTGGAGTCTGAGGCTGCACATGGCACAGTGACCCGTCATTACAGACAGCATCAGCAGGGGAAAGAGACTTCAACCAATCCTATTGGTAAATAACACGCACAAAATTCAGCATCTAATACTCCCCCAACTATAACCCTGAAAAACTCAGCTTCCTTTCATTTTAATGTTTGTTTGCCATGTTGTCCTAAATCCTCTCCTTACATGGGGTGTTCTTATTTTCTGCAGCCTCCATCTTTGCCTGGACGCGGGGTCTGCTCCACCGGGCGAAGCTGGACAGCAACACAGAGCTGCGAGTGTTTGCTGAGGCTCTAGAGGCGGTTTGCATCGAGACCATCGAGGCTGGCTTCATGACAAAGGATTTAGCTATCTGCATCAAAGGACTGCCAAAGTGAGTCTGCAGTATCTTACTCTCACAGCGATCCAGCTGTGTCTGTGAGGATATCATCAATCATCTTTAATGTTTCACACTCTTACCAGATGCATTCCTGATGAAGCCATAGAGATTTTTAGGAGTTTAATGCATGCATAAAAGCAGCTTTGAGGTGTAATTAACTCTTCTCCATGTCCTTTTTTTCAGAGTGACACGTGCAGACTACTTGAACACCTTTGAGTTCCTGGACAAGCTTGCAGAAAACCTGAAGCTTAAGCTCGCCAAGCAGCCCAAACTGTGATCTCTCCTCTAAGCCTGACCAGTTAAAAACCACAGACACACTTTCAAACACACGCACACAGAGATATCCACACAGATACTGGAACCAACGCTGGAGAAAAAAATGGATTTTTGCCCTAAACTCCAGGAGACTGAGTCATTCCCCGGCTGAGGGGTCTGATCATGTAGGGTGCCTTTTTCTAGAAGGAGTTCTAACAGAGGCCATCTTTTCCTATTAATGCATCACCAGAATACCTGATGCCTCGGTGATCTTGTTTACCCTGATTGCACTGGGTGAGTGTGTATGTGTGTGTGTGTGTCAGTATTTGTTGGTGATCTGTGCTCGGCAGGGGCCAGAATCTGTCTGAGGGATCCTTCAGTCCCTCAATGCCTTACTCGTTTTATGTCAAAGTCATCGGTTGATTCTCGTTTCCTCCTTCTGTCTTGTGAACTTTTAACAATACCTCAGGCAGCATTTCTAGTTTTAGTGTCAGATAACAGTGTTAGCTGAGATTCACTAATGTAATTTAACTCGCACAAACACAGGAAACACTGCTTAATGTCATGATTTATAGAATTAAATTAAGAGCTCTGATTCAACTACAACAAACACTGCTTTTAGAGTTTGTACTCTTCTTTTTATCAGTCACAGTTGTTAAAGAGGTGTATTTATTTGTCCTCTCTGTCTGTGTGTTTTGTATTAACCATCAGTCCGTCAATCATTCATATCCTGCCAAAAAAAAAGTCTTCATGAAGTTGTTTTAGCTATTGGTTTGTAATCAACATCATGCATGTCCATTCTTAATATGACGACTCGTAATAAATGAGTTTTTGAAGTAAAAATGGCTGAGTGAGTTCATGAGAAAAGGTAACACACATAGACTGTATATACTATGGACAACATGGTTCCATCTTCCGCCTGTATACAGATTTGGAGTTGAAAAGCTCTCGGTATTTCTGCGATTTTTCTCCATTTCCTGAAACCAACATTGCGCAGTAGTGTTGTACGCACCCCACCACTTTCGCAGTCGCGTTATACGCAGTCGGCGTGAGAGTCGTCAAGAGTTGCTGTGATGATGCTCGGCTGAAACAGCGTATCCCCCAGGTGAGCTTTGCAATCTTCCATAAGCTGTATCAAGTGTCAATCAGACGCTAGAAAACATGAAGCTAGTCTTACAATAACTACATGTCAACATCGCAACCAGAGGAGAGAAGGATTTATATTCTGTGTAATAAATTTCTAAAGTATGTCCACAGCTCCATAAGGATGGCTAGAGGAGGCGGGATTTATGACCTATACTGCAGCCCGTCACCAGAGGGTGCTGTTCTTGGAGTGGCTTCACCCAGCGAGGAGGCAGACAGCGTCTATTCTATATACAGTCTATGGTAACGAGTTAAGAAAATTTCAAATAAACAAAAGGAATTTGTGCTTTAATGGAAAAGATTCGCCTCATCCCAACATTTATGCTCAACTAATAATTTACACAACCCACAGCATGGACGCTGATGTCTGGATCACCCCAGGGATGGACTCTAACAAGGACAGATAGACAGAAAGATCCAGCAAACCACTAAATTAGATTTTTATGCACAGGTAATTTTTGCAATGATACAGATTCCCTTTTTTTAATAATTCAAAGTTTGTTATTTTTTCAATGTTACAACAGACAAACATAAAAAAACATGTATTGGAGGTCAAAAATAGTAATAATAATAAAATAAATAAATACACAAAAGAAAATGAATAAAAGAAAATAATAAAATAATAGGCAGGCAGGTAAGTTGACAAGGCAAGAAAGTTAACACATCTGTCTACCAAAACTATCCCATTTTTCTTTTATCATTTTCACAATTTAATCTCCCCAACATCTTCTCGCATGCTACAGTCCCCACATCTGTGTTTTCCACATACTCAGTTTGGGAGCTTGGGATTCCTTCCAATACCTCAGAATAGTCCGTGCACATGTTATCAGGCCAGTTTTTAACATCTTAAAACTGTATTTATTCGACGGGCATCATAGCTCTGTCTCTAAGGAGACATAATCTTGGTGATCTGGGAAGTTTGTAATTTAATGATTTGCTCATATAGTCAGTAACTTGTTCCCAAAGAGAGGATCTAAGAACATCCCCATAATGCATGAATAAATGTGCCACTTTCTGTAAACAGATTCACTTTGTTTGAACTGACTCGTCTTTGTGTGGTCATAAAATTACAGAATAGACCTTTAAATAATATGGAGTGCGCCTCCTCTTTCAGCAGATGGCGCTGTTCCATAAACACCCTCCTTTTCTTTTTTATGGGCAGAGTTACAGTCCAGTGAAAGGACTAGACAGCTGAGAGGAGCAGACTCATGTTTACTCTGTGGATTTAGATCATAGGAGAAAACTGAACTAAGATCAGAAAACAGACCGGATTAAAACAGTCTGTGATCGTCTCTGTGACCTTTGTGACCTCTAATGAGCTATGGATCCTTATAAGAACCAGAGAGACTCCAGGAGGAACAACAACACCTATCCGCAGGACACGTCAGGTGTATATGGAAATAAAGACAGTGGTACACCTGAAACTCCTGACAGAAATCAGCCTGACAACCTGCAACAGCAGCGGCAACAGGCTGACAGACAGCCTCAATAGTAAGTCATCTTCAATATATTTAAATCAACAGCTAAATGAGATCTGAAACATTATATATGAGGTAAACAGGCTCCGTTTATTATGTGTCTATTTTTAGATTAAAAAAGAATAAATACGAGTAAAGCTTTTCCAACCAGCCGGAAAATAAATGTTTATTGTTTATTTTGTAAGATATCAGAGGCATTTTAGATATGTACTTTCGGTTTCGTTTCTCCTCAGTCGAGAAAGTAATGGTGCATTCACTGTTCCCCGGAAATCCCAATTACTAATGTGAGAAAAGACTAAGAACTTTACAGTGAAGCGTAAAAAGATCAAATTAGTTACGTGTGAAGTTTATTTGATTAAAATGACAATTAGGGATTGATCAGGAAGTATTTTGACACGTTTGCCTCATAAATAGCTTTTTGACAAGCTTTTTAATGAGATGTAGTCTAATTAAGCAATTTTAAACTTTTCACAAACTGAGCAGCTCATATTTATCTGTTTGTTCATCACAAAGAGCCTCACATTCTGTTCTAGTCTCAGTACTTGAATCAAAACTGAAAGTGAAAAAGTTCTGCATATATCATCATTAAAAATCAGTTTCTGTTTCCTTCTCAGCTCAGGTGGATTCACCGTCATCCCACCAAACGAATCTCGCCGGAGCAAGATAACAATGAGTGAGCTGACAGACAACTATTTTTAATGCTTCCTTAATTGTTATTTAATCTCTTAATTTGTAGAATTTTGTTCCTGATGTGAAAACCTTCTTTCTCCTCAGTGGCTCAGAAAGAAGAGCAGGAACTCCAGAAATGGAAAGAAGCGAACAGACCGTCCTCTGTGCGCCTGAATCCAGAAAAGCTGGGTAAACCATTGCATTTATAACACATTACAAACTAATATACTTTGCACATGCTTACTCTCTGATGTATAATCTGTTCTTTTAATTCATTAAGGCGGTAATGTGTCGTTGGCTGAAGCCAGAGAGAAGCAGCTCACAGAATTACGATGCTCCAAACTGCAGAAGAAGGTATTTCTCATACATTGGTAAAGTCATGGGCAAACTGATAGTAAAGAGTGAATATGCTTTGTTTTAGATGCATTAAATGAGGTTTCTGGCCATTTTTCTTCCTGTCGTGACATAATAACAAAGATTCACTTTGTGTATACTGTTTGAAGCTGAAAAAGGAGGAGATGGACAGGAGGAAGAGACAAGAAGAGGAGGAGGAATTGCAGAGGATGAAGGCTGTACAAAGACAGAAGGTGAGAGCAAAACAAGAAAATGCACTTTTTACACTGTTTACTATATTTATACTGTAAAGGAAACACCATTTTTTGATCTGTTAAAAAGATGTTACAATTAACCCAATTTGACATCTATCAAACTCCTATCTACCTCAACACTTTGAATCTGTTCTCATAAGTCAGTCAGCGCAGTGATTTTTTTGTGACAAACCCCAGAGTTCAACATATGAAATGTGCTGAAGTCAGACAGAAAAAGAAGGAAAGTTGTCTTTTTTTCCTTGTAAAGAGATCATTTACTAAGAACATGGCATGTGCGGTCAGAGCTCACTTGAAAATGTCATATTTGCCTCCTCTATGATGGATCTCTGTGGATGTTCTTGTTGAATTTTGGTGCAAGCAGACTCCAGAAAACGCACCAAAAACAATGAGTGTAGAAATGTAAATTACAAACTGCTTCTTGATGGAGGAGTCTGAAATCTGCTGCAGCAGTGATGAGATTTAATAACCAAGACTGACAAATGGAAATCATGAGAAACAGTCTGATCATTTCTTGAAGTATTCACTCAGACTCCACATAATCAGTTTGACTGGCTCTCTTTTATATGACCCAGCACAGCAGCCTTTTCTTTACATCTGGTGTCTTTAAGTTTATTGATAACATATAACCTCTTTGTATAAAACATTTACATAGAAAATATGCAGTAAAAGGTAAGGGAACGTGTTAACAGATACCCTAGAAACACTGATAGATACAGAAATTCTTAATAAAATTAGGCATTTAGGAAGCTTGTAAATATTTACTATTCGCTCCTTACCCCCTCGTATGCTGCATATAACGTGGGTGATCATAGATAGACAGACAGAGACACTGCAGGTTAGTTTTCTTTTAAAATAGGTCAGTGATTGAGAACATTGTCTTATGTAAACCTTCTCAGACCGCTGTGTGAAAAGTTAAGCTGCTGGTTGCTTTTGCTCTTAGTTTTAGATTGTTTTTTTAGATCCACAGATGAACAGTCAAAACATGAGTCGCATTATTTGGGGTCCTGCCAATGAGATTTTCCAGAAACTAGACATAGAAGACAAAGAAAAAGCAGGAAGTAGGCAGGAAATGGTGCTGCTAAAAGAGCAGAAATGCTCCTCTGTTCACCATGATGACTCCCTTGGTCGTCATTCACACTGATGCATCACTTCATTGTTTTGAAAGGCACTCAGAACAAAGTTGAAGGCAGTTAGCAGTGTTAAGCATGGATGCAGATGATGTAAAGGGTTTAAAGTAGTTGTAATTGGTTATCTGTGCAGCTCCATGCAGCAGAGATGAGATTTTGACAGCATGAATCTGCAAAACCTTTTGTGTTTCTGTCTTTGAATATAATTTGTGTAATCTGCTTTGTGAATTAGACCCTGACACTGAGCAGTAGCATGGTAAATGAGGCAGAATTTTTGCTGCTTTTAGGGACACTTTAATGTTTCTGATAGAAAGATTATGCAGCACAGAGAAATGAAATGCATATAAAAAGTGGTCCAGTTTTGCAGTAAAGGAAAAGATTGAAAAGAAAAGATTTTCCAATACAAAAATAAAATATATCTTTCCAATGTAAAAATATGTAGACTGCACTTTTGGTATTTATTCAGTGTGAAAAAGATGCTTTCCCCTCTCCCTTTCATCGCAGTACTTCGTCTTGCCTCTAGATGTCAGTGTAGACAAGCCCCAGTGGATTTTCTCAGCTCTTTCTGGTTGTCTTCTTGTTGGAGTCCTCCCTCTCTCACACAGACCACCATGAGAAGCACCTGATTCATGTTCTGGTAGTTTCCATCAGCTGCAGACAGACAGACAGACAGACAGACAGACAGACAGACAGACAGACAGACAGAGCCTCACTCTGCTCTCAGACATGCTCTCCTCTTTGCCTCTCCTCGCCCGTCTGATGCTCTAATAGCGGTTCACGGTCTGCTGCAGTTATGTGGAGGGGTGAATCACTTTTGGAGACCAAAGCGGTCTTCCACAGACCTTTTCCTGTTGCACCCTGACCTCTACGAAGCCAAAGGAATGTTCTGGTAATCCAGGAAAGACACAGATGCATGTGAAGCAGACCTTTCCTCGCCTATAGACGTGACTTAACACGGCGCTGGTAGAGACATGGGTCATAGCCTGGCCTGACCCACTTTGGTTTGGGATGTAGGGGCTGTTGAAGGCCGAGTGGAGAATTATTAAGTGTTTAAACCACAGAAACAGAGTCAGCTTCAGCTCCTGCTCCATGGCCTCCATATTTTTCTCATGGATGTTTCCGGTTTTACAGTAAAAAACACTGTAACTGACCACATGGTTGACCTGCACATGACTCTGCAGCCAGAATACAGTCTAAAAATGAGAGTGAGGCCCAGACTGTTAACTTTAGCAAGAGAGAGGCTGAAAGTGGAGTGGGCAGAGAGGGATTTCCATCTGTTGGAAAATCAGATTTTACCGTGTGAGCCATACAAATGTCATCAAAACATCACAAACAGTCCGTACAATGAAACAGAGGGTGATTCCTATAGATGCTGAAACAACATTTGGGTCCAAATTTATCTTTATGTTTTCATGCATATACTCTTATATGGACATGTTCCATCGTCATTTCCTCAGTTTTTGGTGCCCTTAGTTGAGGTCTCTGATGGCGTTGCAGTTTGAGCACTCCACTTATGAGATGATGTAGTCCTGGGCGCAGTGGTTGCTTGTTCAGTTTCTGGCTGCAACCCTTTGCTATGTCTTTTATTGGAAGTCCTTTGACCTTAAACTGTCTGTTTTCAACGTCACCGAGCCTGAGCCTGTGTGATCTCTGTACTTGTATGTCTTTTATGGTCCTTTTATCACTTTTATTTCTGTTATGCTTTTGTGTTTTTATTTCATTTATTTTAATGTTTTTTTTGCCTGCTTTTATTTATTTCATCTTGATGTTTTCTGCAGTGTCTGTTCTTTTAATTTTATTGTGCAGCACTTAAGTAAACTCGAATGTTTTTTAAAGTGTGCTATATAAATAAAGCGGATGGGACTGGATTGGATTGGTTACTCAACCTGGCTGTATCACCATGGTAACTCACTCCAGACTCATCACTTTGTCAGGACTGGGTTCAATTCCAAGTTAGAGCTCATAATTGTTAATCAGGCGCCGTCGTTTCATGAGTTTACGTCTGCTAATAACCCCTCCCCCTGACTTTACATATCATCAGCTGATGTAGTTAAAGAAGTTTTGGAGCTGTAATATTTTTAACGACAGAACGCAGACGCCCACTTAGAGATAAATATGACTGATGCATGTTGGAAGAAGAGGTTGTTGAGTTTCTTGCATATAGCTGTGAGCTGCAGAGTGACTGCCGTCAATAGTGCATGTCGGTAAAAACATGTTGCTGTGTCGTCAGCGTGTCCTGATGTGGCCGTGTGCTGCAGAGTGACGTCTCTCTGTTGTGTGTTGCAGGCGGAGCTGCTGGAGGAAAAGAGGCGACAGGAGGATCAGATGAGGAGGGAGCAGTACAAGCAGGATCACCTCAGGTCAGACCGGGATCAGGTTCGCTTGGGTCTCCGCACTGTCTCTGTGTGGTATTGTGTTGTTTTCTGTGATGTGTTGTGTTCCTTCTTGTTCTGCCATGAATCTCAGTCACAGATGTTGCATCAGATGACACAATCTCCTCTGCTGACCTGTAATTATCACCAGAGATTGAGCTGTTGGCAGAGGAAGCAATAACAGATAACTATAGTAAATAAATATACACAGGGCAGTTATGCACTCCTGCTGTAATTCACTCATTTAAGCCATCTATACAACTCCTACACTCTGAAAAGGTAAACAGGTCATCCAGAGGTCAACCTGTCCTGTGTATAAGAAGTGAAAGAAGATCCTGGACTCAAAAATAAAGTGTCCGAAATCTGGATCAGGAGGCAACTATACAGGGTGCAAAGAGGTCTGAATATTTGGAGGTGTGGAAGCAAGTTGTAATTAACATTTTCTAATGAATTAAGACCATAACCTCCAGATTTATGTTTCTTTGTTATAGCATGACTCCCAAATCATAGATTTTTGTCCCAGTAAGAGTAAAATGAGTGATTCAAGTTGGATATGGTTTAAGTTGCAGCTGTTTGCACTACAAGTGAGGTCAACAAAAGAGTAAAACAATCTATATTCAGTCTCTTATATGGTCCAATATGGTCACTTCTTGTTCCAAAATCCAAAACAGCAACGGCCCTAAATGTCCAAATCATGGAGTAAAGAAAGAGATTTATGTATCATGAGAGGTGTCACCTGGTTTTTGGAGCCAGAAGTGACTGAATTTGAAGGTTGAGGTTAGAGAGGAAGAAGGAGGAGGGAGACATCTATGACTCTATGTATCTGTGATGTTATTTTCATGCTGCAGCTACCCCTCTTCAGAAACTAAGCTGATGTTGAAGTGCTTAAACCTGCAGATCCCTGAGTGTCCATATAAAATAAAACACATTTAAAGCTTGGTTGAAAAAAACTCTTGGTCTGAATAGTTCAGGGTTCCCTTAGCAACCAGGAAGTAATTGTTTTTGTAATGCTGTCATATTAAAGTAGCTAAGGTTGCAGGATCAGTGAATCAGAGGTGCGGCCGACTTGACTGACAGGCAGGCACACTGTGACCATTAGAGAGGAGGCTCAAGGTCCACCTCTGGTAGATAGGCCAAACGTTAGGTTGAGTCAGCATGACCAATATGGCGACTGCTGCTGGTGGGGAGAAAACTGATCTCCGACCACATTATGTGGGTCTGTTAGTCTGACCATGAGAAGTATGAATTAATGCGATTTCAGTCAGACTGGTCTTGAGATTAAGACCAAGACCAGACCAACTAAAAAAGACAGTTTTATTCTTGTGAATTTTAAAGAGCAGCCTGGAGACCCCACACCAAGCCTGAGTGTTACGGCAGCATTACATGTGAAAAACAGAGAATTACAACCTCAGAGGACATTATGATTCATTGTTTTGACTAATGAATCAACTCTGACATGCAAAATCAGTGGAGTGCTCCCTCAGAGTGGTGGTTTGGGTTATTATTTTTAATTTGTAAAAACAATAATGATTTAAAGAGTGTGCTGTCTGCAGTAGGTTTCATGCCGTATTATCCAGCGGAGAACCAGACCGCTTTAAATCAATTACTCAGACAGCCAAGATGTTATTGGAATATTATACACGGTCTGCGCTGAGGGGAAACTGCTTGTCAAGTAGCATCTCTGGCCTCCTGACAAGAGAAACAAAAAGAAGAGACAGCAGACCAACGTATGAACCTGCAGGAACAAAGGCGATATTTAGAGATGGAGGGAGACAGAGCGCAGAGAGGCGTCACAGGCGGACAAACAAACTCCGTCAACCTTGTACTGTCAGGATCCCAGGCATGTGGAGTGTCTGTGGAGTAAATGAATCCTCCTCTCATACCTTATCATTACTCTCTGTTTGTCTTTTTGCAATGCGAGGATGTTGAGTGTGTTTTTCCTGCAGGGCGAATAAGACTTTTCTGCAGAGGTTTGAGAGGACGGCCCCAGGTCCTTTGGCATCCAGCAGTGCCACACACACGTCATCCAGGGTAAGCCAGCGACCACATAATGTGTGTGCGCCCGTGCTTGTATGTGCTTTCACATGTTGTGTTTGTATACACGGCTCTGTGTGCATCAGCTCCGGGGTTCAGTGTTGAGCCTAAAATCTGTGGCTGGAGCTCTGCAGTCAGGAGATCTGCCTTTGTGAGCTGTTTTCTGACTAAACACTCTCAGGGTGTTTCATCCTCTGGTGTTAAGGGTGTCCCTGATTAGCTGGGTGGGTTACAGAACTAGATAACCCCCTCTGACATCCTCCCTTATCAAAGTCAGAGCACACAGCAGTCCAGCGAGCTCACAGCTGAGGATCATGTCCTGTAGTTTTCCTCTCAGTGTCTGCGTCCGCCTCTTTCTCTCTCTCTCTCTTTTGTTTTCTCTGCCTCCTTTTTTCTCTCTTCCTCTCCTCCCTGCTTGTTGTTGGTTTTCATGGGAGGGATTGAGCGGCAAGCGGAGTTCAAGGGACTTCCCAGAGTTCACATGGAGCAGAGACGGAGACACAACATGAAATGGCTGTAAGAAGTCTGCAGAGAAACAGAACGGAGCAGGAATGACCTGCTCGAGTAAAAGTACCTGGAGGAAACCCAAATCTGAATCTGACCAGTCTTGTGCCTTGTTGTTAATACTTGGAAACCCAAATCCACCAGGACGCTTTTACTATGTAATTTAGGGTCTAATGTAAATATGGTGAACATCTGCAAGTTTTAGGACTCAGTTTTGATCCAGATTCTTCCAATATCTTAGTGTGGGTTTCTGAAACTTAACTGATTATAGGTGCGGATGAATCATGGGTATTTATAACAAAAATAACCCAGTAAAGTTTTTGAATACATGATTTAATGTGTTACATGACAGGCTGGGTCAGACCATAGACCGTATATACTATGGACAACTTGGTTCCGCCTTCCGCCAGTATATGGATTTGAAGCCAAGAAGCTCTCGGTAATTCTGCGTTTTCTCTCCATTTCCTGAAATCAACATTGCGCAGTAGCGTTGTACACATTCAGCGGGAGAGTCACCAAGAGTCCCTGTGATGATGCTCAGCTCAAACAGCGTATCACCCGGGTGAGCTATGCAATCCTTGTCCGCCCATAGGCTGTATCAAGTGTGAATCATAGAAAACATGAACTCCCTAATAACTTTTAAAAATGGAGCTGTAAAGAAAAGGAGGACTTGGGCACAAACCAGTCTTACAGTACCTACATGTCAACATCACAACCAGGGGTGAAGGGGGGATGATGTTTTGTATATCAAATTTCTAAAGTTTGTCCACAGCTCCATAAGCTTTGCTGGAGGAGGCAGGATTTATGACCTATACTGCAGCCCGTCACCAGAGGGTGCTGTTCTCAGAGTGGCTTCACCCAGCGAGGAGGCAGACAGCGTCCATTCTATATACAGTCTATGGGTCAGACTTAATGTTATCCAAGTATTAAAATTTTTGATTAACAGTGCCCACATCTGCTTTAATCATCCATCCATCCATCTTATCCTGTTGGGGTCATGGGGGGGCTGAAGTCTATCCCAGCATCTTGGGGCGACGGCAGGGGACACCCTGGACAAGTCGCCAGTCCATCGCAGGGCTGACATGTCGAGACAAACAACCGCTGCTTTAATCATCAAGCACTTAAGAAACCCCAAGAATTTAAAAATAGAAACACCTTTTGAGAAAAGAGAGATTGTACAAGGTGATTTTAATCTTTTCCTGTGGTGACATCACAACAGGAGTGACTTGCATAGGCACACAGGCAAAGCCTTTCCTCTCTCTGCTGCGCTGTTGTGGTTTTACTTTGGTATTGCAGAGTCATGATGCCAAAGGTTAGAGCCAGACAAGCCAAAAAAGGTCTAAACTTTGTCCCAGCACTGGAGGATTTAAGAAAACAAAGGTTGGTTTTTATTTTTTATCATCGTATGCCAGCAACAGTTCATGCTAATTTGGCTTTTTGGGCCAACCGCTTAACTTTGCACTGATTGAACAGCTCTACCTGCACAGTGGTCAGCTTCTTTTGTGTCAGCATGATGTCCTACAGGTCACATGACTGACCTGATATGCAGATCACAATTTAGAGTCAGGCTTCCTCAGTTATGTCTCTTTTTTTTTGGTAAATAGTGCCTTTAATCTAAAATCCATGCCTGCTTTAACTCTGAGGCCTCAAACTCTCAGAGCTCACATTTATTCTTAGCTCAGGAAATGTACATTATGAGAAGGTGATGACAGCTCCTGTCAGACGCTCTGATAATAAAGTCTGCCCGCCGCGTGTCTGTCAGTGATGTTACACCAGAGAAGAAGAAAGTGTGCAGGAAACCATATTGTGCAGCGAGCGTATCATGTGGTGACTGACAGCAGTGTTAAATCTGCACACACAGCTCCCTGAGCGGACGGAGGAAATGTTTTCTTTCTGGTTCTTTTCTCATTGTTGTGTTTCTCTCCTCTTTCTCTCACTCTCCTTCTCTTTTTCTCACACAGACCTGACGCAAATCTTTCAGCGGGCGAGCTGGTGGTAGAGAAAGAGAGGGAGGTCAGGGGTCAAGCTGTGGTGTGGAGAGGCAGTCAGTTACAGTAATAAAGAGCTCTCTGTGTTTTATGGAGTCACACACACACACACACACACACACACACACACACACTGACAGTGAGAGCAGACGGCTGAATGGATGACACAGCTCAGAGGATGATACCAGGGTTACAGAGAAACAAAGACTCACCTCTTCCTGCTCTCTCATCTCCTCTCTTTGTCCTCTCTCATCTCTTACCTCATCTCTGGTTCTCGTCCATCATTTCCCCTCCTTTACTTTTCATCCTTCTCCTTTTTTTTCACTTCCTTTTCACTCACTCCAATCTTTTTTTTTCCTCCCACCCCCTACCTCCATCTACCTTGTCTCTCTCCACACTTCTTGTTTATCTCTCATATCTTCTGTTCATCTTCTGACGTTCCCATTCCTTTCTTATTTCATTTTCTTATTTCCAGTCTTTAATGTCCAGTTGTTCAAAAGTGAGCTGATTGAATTTAAGGTATCAGATTGGATCAGATTTTGAAAACCAGATGTTGACAAGTAGATTTCAAGATAAGATGATTTTGTTTAACATTTCATGTTTTTTGTACTCAGAGAGGAAAGTATAACAGGGTTGACTTTCTTGAACATCTGAATTTTTTTTTTTTGGCAAATCAGGACGGACTCCACCTGAGGCACTTGTTAGGAATGGAGAAAATCTCTCTTTATGTTTGTTATTCAGTGTTTCTTTTACCTTCAGCTCTTAAAGGGGATGTGAAAGCCATCTCACACACAAAATCTCTTATCCATAATCTGTTCTAATAATCTAGATTTGGTAATCTGTCAAAAGTCAATATGGTTAATCCCAAAGTCTGATGGATCACCTGATCCTAAAGAGAGAGAGATGATTTTTAAATCCAGGTCATTATTAGATCAAACATTTGTATGAACCCGGTCTTTGGTCTTCTCTGCTCTTGTTTCTTTTTGCCATTCTTCTACTTCAGATTGTACTTGTCCGTTGCTTTCTTTTACTTTTTTTACACTCTTTTCATCCCTTTTTTTAATCTCTATTTTTTATATCCTTGTCCCTCTTATCTGACCTGTTTCCTTATCTTTACACATCCCTGTTCTTCTTTCACGTTTCCTTTTCCCCCTCCTTACCCTTGCCTCTCTCCTTCTTTGCCTTTTCTTTTCATCCCTTTCTTATCTCTCCTCTCTCATCTTGCCCTCATCATTTCACTTGAATTTTCCTTTCACCTACTTTTTTAATCTCTTATCTCTTTCCTCCTTTCTTCTCTCTCCCGTAGCCCTCTTTTTTCTATCTTTTCTCATTTTGCCTTATCTTTTTCATCCATTTTTTTTACCAGTTTTTCCTTTTATCCCATTTCATTCCCTTCCCTTCTCTGTCCACCTTTTTTCTCCTTTATTTTCTTTTACTTTACCACCAAAGGCCTTATAAATTTCCTGCTCTCTTTCCTCCCACCCTCTCCTTTTCTTTCCCCTCTCTCTCTCTCTTTCTCTCTCAGATGGTCGTCACAGATTAGCCGATGAAAGCGTTTGCAGCCGCTGAGCAGCAAAAGTCAAACTTCTTGATGTGGTTTTGAGTGGGACCCTGGGATCTGTTGTACTTTCAGACACTGCTCCATAAGATGGATTGATCCCTCCTTCACATCCTCTGTTTGTGTGTGTGTGTGTGGTGTGAACACTTATGTGTGTGTCTGAGTGGGAGACTTAATGCTGAGCTTTGATGGCACTCACACAGGTGGGCTGTGTGTTTAGGATGGATGTAGAAAAACCACCTCGCTGACCCCTCAGCTCTCGTGGGAAAGGGTAAAAAAGTGCAGATGTGTTGGATAACTTTCTTCAGACTAGATTACAGTTAGTTCACTTCACGCTGAGCAACACCGGTTGAGTAGAGACTGCCAACATGTATCAGCTGTACCTTTTTCCTACAGATCTGATAGTCTTATTTCCAAGTTCAGTTATTTGATCTTAAAAAGTGGAGCTGTGGCAACATGATTGACAGCTCTGTTGACCAATAAGGAGAGTGGGAGGAGAAGAGGAAATGTAGCTAACTCTAACATATTGTCATTGAGTCGTGAAACGTTTGTAAATCTGTGTGTAGAGTTACATTTGGAGACTTATACCATAACAGACTGAGTTCCAGCGTGGGCTTCATTACAAGTCAGCTCCAGTGGTGTTTGGTGGGTCAGTGAATTAATTAGCCCTCCACATTAGCACTTGTAACGAACCCTGAGGTGCCCCAGTCTGTGAGTATGGATGACAGTCTGTGAGTCTATAAAGTGCAAAGCCTGTTGTGCAGGATGAAGCCGTCGTGTGTCTCACCAATGTCTTAAGTAGCACACACTTAAAATGTGTCTATTCAAAACTTTTTTGTGATTCGCTGTTTGATCACAAGTGTGGCATCAGTCTTGCAATGTTACTATTAAGATCACTTCTGCGTGTTGTCAGTTACCTGACAGTGCATCCATGAACTGTTGTGCTATCTGACTCTGAGGAGAGAGGAAAGAAGGAGAGGTGGAGGGGAGAGGAAAGATTAGAAAAAAGAAGAAAAGGGGGTCGAGGAAAGAGAGCAGGAAATTTAAAAGGCCTTTGGTGGTAAAGTAAAAGAAAATAAAGGAGAAAAAGGCAGACAGAGCACTTTTTTAACCCGGCTTTTCACTGACTGCCAATTCTTAATGTTTCTTTTATGTCATTTTATAAATTTTCTCCGTTCATAGTCTCTTTATTCCAGCCATAGAGGTTTTAACTTCTTTTACCCCTTTTACATGGTAAAGAGCTCTTACTTATCTGTTCATTTAATATAATTTTCTTGTTTTCTTCCATCAGGTTTTACTCTTTCTTTTTACCATTTTCTTTTTATCTCCAGTGTTTCCCAAAGGTAGCTCTTTCCTCATGTAATATCTGGGTGTCAGGCCATGTCTCTTTAACATTATCTTAAATTCTCACTCTGTGTGCGCTTGTGTGTGTGTGAGTCCATGGGTGGGTGTGTGAGTGGGAGGGTCAAGTTTTATTGTTGTTTAATTGTTGTTTTTAGCCTCTTTGAACTACATTGTTTTGTCTGAAAAGTGCCATACAAACAAATAAATAAGTAAAATTATCCGTCATATTTCAAACAGTCAGCTTACAGTCCAATCACAGAGATGCACAAAAACTATACGCCCTGATTCCTGCACAGCATGAATTTTATGGATCAGTTGTATGACCGCTCCAGATTTTGATAATGATGTTTAGTAATGCTTAAAGAGACTTCTTGACTTTCTTCTCAGTTCTCATTGGCACAATTCTTGAAAAGATCTTCTCCTTTCTAAGTGTGGCTTTCCTCTTTTTTAACAGAGTGAGTCCAAGGAGGGTTTCAAGAAGAAAGAGCCAAAAAGTGAGAGAGATGTTCTGCAACAGCATAAAAGGTACATGCATCATATTTTTTTTATCAACTCAATCAAACTGTCATCCTAAATTTGTGATAAGAAAAAAAAAACTAGATATTTGATTCTCTCCTCGATAAAAACAAATTTAATACATGTCAGCAGAAAGAGATTTAACATGATTAATCTTTTGTTTTGTTCATTTTTTTGGAATAAAACCAGTATAGACCGGCCAGCTCGATGAATACTGAGTGTGCAGTTCACTGACCTCACTATATTTCACCAGAGGAGTTTAAAAAGCTGTCAAACATCCCTGTTAGTAAAAAATCAGTTTTATGCGAGCCATTTTTCTGATTCATTTTATTTTGACAGGGTGAACACGGCCTTCCTGGACAGACTGGAAGGTCGAGGAAGGGCGAACGAGGAGAGGGAGAGTGTCCAGGAGGAAGAAGAGCGTCCGTATTTCAAAACTGAAGAGTCGAACTCTGCATGGCGAGAGCCCCCCGCCACTTACCTGGACCCTGAGCCAGACACGGACTGGGCACAGGAAGCTGGTGAGTCTCATGATGTTTCACACGGCTTCTTTTTTTAGTCCTGCTGGTTAACCAAACCTTAATGAGACCTGTGACAAGATGTGACCACTTCGTGCTCCTTTAAGCGCTGTGATTGTGTGTTTAGTCTGCGTTTAAATCAAAGGCTGTACGCGCGTCAAAAATGCAGACGGGGACATTATGTGTGGTAGGTCGTAATACTGACGCTCCGGGGGTTTAAATCCTGCTGATACTTGTAGTTTGTGGAAATTGTGTGTCTATAAATATGAGTAAGAAAGTATGTTCCCCTTCTGTGTGGGTGCATATCTTTATTTACTATGGGCTAGACGATAAATCAAAGATGTGTCAGGGTCTGAGTGGCAGACAGGATGCGAGAAACATGGACATAAACACCCACAAACAAAACAAAACACACACATACAGCATCAGAGGCATGCATCATTGTTGAACCCGGATTACACACACTCTGTGGGCCTGCAGCCAAACAGACACCGACAGGAGCAAGCCCCGCCCTCCTCAGATTAGCCTGTGTTGACAGATCGAGTTTGATACCTGACGTGATACAACTCACCTGTGACGACCTGCCAATCAAAACAGCAAAAGCAAACACAGACAGAACGGGATTTACTGAAGCATTTCTTTTAACAGCAAATGTCAGTGTAATTTTAACATGTACTTTTTTTCTGCAGCTTTGGACCGTGTCAGATAAAGAGAATAAAAATATATCAGACTTTTCTGCTCTGAAATATTCTTTAGATTTAGTTGTAAAGGTTCCTCATTGAAACGTTTCAAAGATCCCGCCAAACACAGCCCTGTAATCAGAGACGGCCCAAGGCATAAGCGAGCTAAGGGCCTGCTTAGGGCGCCACGACCAGTAGGGGGCCCCCAAGAGCAATCGGAAAAAATATATATAGTATTTATTTTTTATTTTTTTTGCATGTATGAGTGATGCTTTCTGTATGATCAAATATATATAATTGTAAAAATAAAATAAAGTAAAAACTTTTTAGTGCTGCTGCTGATGCAGGCCTATGATCCTTACTGCCGAAATGTCAAAGCTCCGCTACTGTTATGTGCCTCCTGCTGTGCAGTGTGCACCGAGCATCCAAAGCGCAGGTAGTTGGGGGGCAAAACAATGTCGCAAAAAAGGACATAACCTTCAGAAGCAGAGAAAAGAAAGAAGAAGAAGAGAAAAAAACGCCAAAAGCATGTTTGCATGTCATGGAATGTTAATCAAAGAGATTTCTAAAGGTGTGTGAACGATCAACAATCAATATTATTGGCAGAAATAGAGGGCCCCGAATCAAATTTTGCTCAGGGCCCCATTGAGGCTTGGGCCGGCTCTGCCTGCAGTTTCACCAGTTTGAGTTAAGTCTGAAATACTCCAGATTATTTCAGCCCCTCCGTCTTGGCTCTCCTGTTCTGGGCTCATTCCCAAAGCATCCTTAATACATCATGTCAAGCTGCATCCTCCAGCCGTGGTTTTGTTTTTAACCGCGGTCCTGATCAGGTATTTCCATTCTGTCAAATACCTGTCACTGCCTATCTCCTGCCCAGTTAGGCTGATGTTGCCCAGACCTTCCTTACTGATTATCTGGCCCTTAAATTAGACCAGCTGATGGCAGGGAGAGGCGCGGGGCAGCCCTGAGGAAGAGATGCCAAGGCTTTCAGACAGCAGAGGTTTCATGCTGCCTGAGATGATTTACTTCTGGTACCCTTGTTTTGGCTAAAACAGCTGAGGATTGCCTCACAGTCTTTGATGGATGACGGTGAGTGTAAATGTCAAACAAAACAGATTGTATTGCTCATCCACAAAGAGAAAACACTGAAATAAGTGATCATAAACTTCCATCTGTTGTGCATGAGACTCAGAGAGAGTTCTGCACTTTCTGACACGACAATAAAGGCGCTCTTTAAACAAACGCCTCATGGGAACAATAACGACTCCACAGAGGCTTGTGAGCATTGTGTCTTTTCCCCTCTGCTTTCCAGACCCGGATCCGGACTATGACTGGGCCCTGATGAAACTCGTGAACAGCTTTCCAAACTTTAGTAAAGAGTTCCTGGAGGACATCCTCAACCAGTGCAACGGGGACTACGAGCAAGCCTACGTACTACTCATCTCCACACTCAGTTGATTTTCATGCGTTTCTAACGGGAGGATGGTCATGCTTTAATATTGAGTTTGATGCTTTTGGAGATGGTTCAAATGAAAATGAATAACCAGTATTCAGAGGAGAAAGAAAAACCACAAATTATGCCTGGCATACACTAGAAGAACTCTCAAAGTCTAAAGTCCACTATTTGCTCACATCCAAACTCTCTTTAGTCACAGATTATTACATTTTGCAAAGACCAAGGATCATGCATTGTCACTATTTACAAAACCACAACAAGATTGATATTAAATTTATTTCCCATCATGCACAGAGTGGATAAGTCACATCTCATGTACAAAGGCTGTAGTCATGGGTTTGACTCCAGGCTTCAGCCCTTTTCCCACATATCAGTCTGCACTCTGTCTCCTAGTTTCCTGCTAAAACGAGCATCCTATCATCTCGAAATGAAAGCATAAAATCCCGAAAATTTAACAAAAATAAATAAAGTTAATTCCAATTATGCTCAGGGTGAATATATTCACAAGGAAAAAACAGTGTTTGTGTTATCTGTGCTGGTTTAGGCTGCAGCTGGTTTGGCGTCAGGAGACAGGCTTCTAAAGGGTGGTGGCACTTTTCACACAGAAAGTCACTAAGGGTATTTATAAAGCATTAATGCAGCTTTATAAGTGATGTAAAGCTTTTATGACAAGTTAAATATAGGATAATTAAATGTTATAAACACTGAACATTAAGGGGTAGAAGTGGAAATGACTCCACAGGGTCCCAACAGAGGAAGGGGCCCTCGGCTGTGGTGGTGGCGCCCAATTTATATATGTTTCATGGGGCTTTTTTATTGATGTTGTCTTACGCAGAAATGAATCTTGGGTGCAGTTTCATAGAGAAAAACACTACTATTGTTCCACTGGTAATTAGCTCCATAAGTGACAGCAAAAGCCCACGTATTGGTGTTAAAACTTTAGAAGTTGGGTCAGTGCATCCCTAATTTCTACATTTTTATCACCACAATCAAAAAGCCAGTTGGAAAACAAGAAGGAGAAATGAGATAATGAAAAAACAAAAATATATCCAGACTAGCATTTTTTAATCTAAATGAAGAGAAATAGCAAATCTTAGATATTTATTGGTCTCTAAATCTGCAGTTTAATGCAACATTTTTGGCAAAGCTTTGATTTACTGGATTTGGTTGTATTATGAATAGTGTATACTATTGGCAAGTATCTTCTCAAACCATCCATCACAGCAACATTCACAAAATCCAATCTCATGTGCAACTATCACGATGTTTAAAGCGAAGACATGCCATGACTGCCTTAACTTGGAGTAATCTCCATGTCTTCTGCCTACCTCTTAATTTGCTGTGTGTTAAGCTCTGATTGGTTTTTCACAGTGTTGATGCTCTTTCCCTGTATCACAATTTTTTTATATTATTCTGAATGTTTTTGATTTATCAGAACTTGCTGAAAAGTGTTAAAGTTTCTCGACTGTCTTCCACCAAACAATGGAGGTGATTGGAGCGTCACAGCTTCAGGTGCATCCTCGGTTTTATTCCAGCTTTGGTAAATGAGGTATTTCAGAGCAATCCCCTCACACACAAAAAAATTCACACAAAATTCATTTTCACTGCTCTACACCCTGTTTTTCAGTGTTTACCTGCAGATCCATGTTTTTCATTATCTCATTTCTCTCTGGCTGTGCGGTGTCCTGTATCTGTCTGCGTGTCCACATGAGTCATGTGGGGTTTTGGGGCCCGACGTGGACTTGAATTTATGTTCTTTTTCACCAGTTTAAAGGTCATCGCCGTGACTCATAATCCTCAGATCACATTTGGTGCTCTTAATTACATCAGTGTGTGCACATGGAAGAAAGCTCAACCCAAATACATGATGCCTTTTGTTTGTTTTATAATTAAAGTTGCATGTGTTGAATTGAGAGCAGGGTTGTTCGGGACAATAGAGGATGAGTGTCCAAAAAGTGTTTGGATTCGGCTCAAAGTCGTCTGAAATAAAAACTTGAAGCGAACAATACTCTGTCTTTGATGTCTAAGTGGCAGCTTTGTTATATTTAACCCTGGGTGGGGTTTCCAGGTGGGCACCGGGCACACAGCTGTGAACATCGGCCTCATTACATCCCTGAGCTGAACAGCAGAGATGGTTATCACCTGACAGAGGAAACTGAGAACAAAGGGTGGTGCTCTCAACATGGGGGAAGAAATCCCCTTCTACATCTGCATGAAGTCATGCAAGGAGTGAAACTGCTGATGTAATCCAGGATATGTCTTTCCTCTGAAAATCAACAAGACACCCATTGTCAGGAGCAGTTATACAATCACGAAGACCACATCATAAACAAAGGTACAAAGATCTCTGAATCCCCGGGTCTCTATTCCCAGAGAGAGAGAGAAACTGTGTCATGGTTACGTCTCTATTGAAGCCACTGCTTTTCTCTAGTCTAAACAAGTGTAATGATATAATACCTTTATTTTCATTGAGTGGATAAAAACATTTTTCATGTTAGTGAAAGTGGTGGTATTCCCCTTTTTTCAGTTATTGGAATGCATATTGTGCAACCTGTATCGGGAAATCATCAGCTTTCCTTGTAAATTTCTACGGTTGATGAAAGATACCAGAAGTTCAGGCTGATTTCATGCAACAGGTCTAACTTGTACGTCCCAGTTCTGAGAGCTCCCTGCTCCTCCATGTGCTTATGAGGAATACCAAAGCCAGAGCATCAGCAAAAACTAGAACGCAGAGCAGGTATCAGAGACGATCCCTGACGCTGATCAGACAGAAGAGGAGCTGGGTTGGAGGCAGGTTGGAAAGCACTAAGTTAAAGAAGTTAGAGCAGGCAGGCTAATGCAGTTTGAACTGGTATTCATTTCACATGGTTTGTTGCCATGGCGCCCCAGGTCACTTTCCACCATTTAGCGCATGTGACCCCAAAAAGAAGAGCCCTGAATTTTGAGAATCTGCAGCTCCTACCTCTGCAAATCATTAATTGTAGAAGTAAATCATTTTAGCATCCCCCCTTAAGGTATTTTTACTAGACAGCTGTATGGTTACATATATCAACATGTGGGTTCTGGAAGAGGGGAATCGGGCCAGAATCAGCCCAACTATCATGTAGTGTCCTATCAGGTGTGCCATTCCCATGAAAGAAGCTAGGAGAAAGAGTTACTGGCATCCGAAGTAAATAAAGACTACAAAATGAGTCGTACAGACTCAACAGGAGACTTGGAGACAGTACTCTATCGAACCCTACTTCCAACAACTGGTTTCAGTCCTTCAAGATTTTAACTGCTGTGTCTAGTGATGTGTCGTTCGTGAATGATTTGTTCAAAAGAACCAAATCTTTTAAGTGAACGTACTGAACCAAATCACTTCTTCAAGTGATTCGTTCGTTTTTCACCTCGATTGAGCTGAAGTAAGAAACAGCATTGCCAGTCGAACAGCCGGCGAACAAGGGACCTTTTGCACCGACACCTGAATCACTTGGTGAAGAATCACGCACGAACAAATCTTTTGAACGAATCTTTGTAGTGAACTGACTCTAGTGATTTAGTACATCTAAAGGAACTGCAGTGCCCATCACTAGCGGTGTCTAGTGTTAAAGTCTTGAAAAGTAATTTATTCGGCGTGTAAAACAAAGTGTCGATCTCTTTTAGTTGTCTGCACAAAAACGTCAATAATACCAGGATACTGACATGATCAGATAACTCACATTTATTTATTAAAACCTCAAAATAAATTCAGCATTTCCTTGTAACATGTCAAACATAATTATGAGATGTTTTTTTCATCAGCGGCATGATAACTGTAGAAAAGCAGCTTGTTTTGGCTGTTGGAGTTGAAATGAAGTTAGAGAAGGGTTAAGGCCGGGTGGGGAATAATGAGCTCATGATGTATAGCTCTCACAAGTACACAAACACAAAGTGTGTTTTGCAAAATGTGGGCGTCTTTGTGTGTATCGATATCAGGAAAAAAGGGGGGAAAAAAAAAAACCTTAAAGTTATCCAGCTGTGTGTGAGTGGGTAGAGTGTTTGTGATGAGAGGTGGGGACACGTCGCTGCTCTGTCGCCTAATCAATACAGTTTAGTAAACGTCTGTGAGCGGATGAGACAATGGAGGGGGAAGGTATCGTATGAAGTCTCCTCGGGCTGTGTTGATCTCTAACAGGACAGTTCAATCAGCTCAAATGGAAACAGCTTTTGGACTCAGTACAACAGATCTGCAGATGGTTCCAAGAAGCAGGTTTTCTGACATGAAATCCCCTAAAAATCTGTTTCATGCAGGCACTTACAGCTGGCTTTGTTGACTTCCTCTTTGGGAATAGCCCTTCACTTGGCGGCGCAGGTTCTTCAACTGTATTTATAGAAGATGTTGGCGAGAATTGGGTAGTTGCATTCCTCTGCATGTGTTTGCATGAATGAATTATTGTGTGTTTAACGCTGGGCAACATTAGTCATTTGTTAGGACAGCTGAAAACAACTACGTGCAGAGCAGAAGCAGAGGGTAGCGTGACTGTTACGTCGGGGAGGATGCTGGGATGGATGGATGGGCACACGAAGAGCGTGACTTCAACTGCAGGATTGTTCACACACACACACACACACACACACACACACACACACACACACACACACTCACCAATATCATGGAAAAAAAGGTAATGAGGAAGAAATTTCACTCAGCTGTTTTGTTATCCAACTTGCTGAGACCTGTGGCAGTTAATCAATCAAACTTTATTTATAGCAAGACAAATAAGTTATCTCATGACACTTGACAAATGGAGGTGATCTAGTCTCTACTCTTTGTCATTATTTTCACAAAGACTCATCATTTCCAACGAGAGTGAGCACAGGGCAACAGTTCGAAACACCAAGTACGAACAAATAGACGATGAATGATGATGAATAACAATGGTTTACAATGATGGAGACAGTGGTAAGAGGAGAAAGTGTAGAGTCTCTGCAGTCTAAGCCTTGGAAAGGAGGTTATGGCAAAATCACAATTGTGAATCTATCACCATTCATTTTAAAGTTTTCCAGTCATTACTTGACCAGTAAGATCAAATTTACTCCCCTATTCAAAATAAATTAAATCCAACTCTAACCCTAAATTTAACCCTAACCAGTGTAACTTTTAAGTGTGCTCACTTTGGTCAACTTGTTTTTGGTACTACGTACATTAAACAAGACTGCTAATATAATTAAGGCTTCCTGTACACTCACTCTTGTGTTGTGTTGTAAAATTACGCTGGTGAACTGTTTCAAAAATCAAAGATAGACACGATCAGGCACAAGTTTTTTGTTGAGCGACAAAAAGTGTGCGGTGCCATGTGAGCTAGGATGTTTTCAACGTGCTTCTTGATTCAGGTCATTTATTCTAGAGAGTTAAAAAATCCAGCAGATTAATTGAGCCATGATAACCAATCAGTATGGAGATATTCCCTGTGATGTACAGATGTACAGCAAGAACAGATCTGGAAAATGATGAACAAATGATGATTGTTTGCTTTCAGATTACCTGGTAAACTGAGAAAACAGCAAATCAACCTCAACCATGTTTGATGAAAACAGACTGAAATGGTGTGAGGAAGTAGGAAATCTACATTTTTACATTTACCATCTTTGCAGTTTACTGCATGCATATGATCTGATACCAACACTTTAACCCAGAGAGCAGATTACCACAAAAACCCTGAGAGCTCACACAAAAACAATGATAGTACTCTTGTTACAAGACGGTTAAAAGAGAACTATCACTGCTTTTAAATCAGGGGGTCCTTACTCTTTGGTGTTCAGAGGCTCTACTTCCCATATTACTTTTCAAGACCCCCTGCAACAAGTTACCCTGTTCTTGCCTCATGAACTTCTCTCTAGCATTTCCCCGCCAGACTGCAGACAGAGCTGACTCATCCAGACAACCTTTGAGCGAAAGTTCACACGAAAGGAAACTGATCTTTAGAGCAACGGTGAGTAAAGGAAAAACTAGAAAGTTAAAGGTTCCAAGAAAGAATCAAACTTCACATCTAAATCTGATTTACGTGATGACACATCCAGTGTTTTTTTTCATCTGAGCTCCAACCTCCAGCTGAGAGAGGATCCAATCTGATAGCTGGTCTTTTGCATGCAAACATTTAAAGATATATAATCCTTATAAGCTCTTATACAAATTGTGAATGACCCCCAATATGATGCACGGCGACACAGGACACAGATACCCATATGTTTACATTTGTTTCATCGAGTTGACTGATCAAATATCCTTTAATGTGGCCCTAAACTTTAAGGCAATAAAGTTCATCTGCAGCTGTACGAAACAACAGTTTCGACATGCAGTGCAGGCTGTTTGCTCAAAAAACTCTCAGAAGCTTCTTAAAACTTTTGCACAAGTTTGCAGAAGTGAGTTTATTATGATTGCATGTCAGAGTTTCTGTCCTAGTTTAGCTTAAAACTTTGTCTATAAAGTGTCATTGTTGGTGCAATTCATTAATGACAAACAAGAATAATGTGAATCTCCAAAAACAAAATAGCATTTGACTCTTCATGGTGTCATTGAGTACAAGTGACACCAAACTGGGCATTTTCTCTGTTGTCGTCACCTCGTCTTCAGGAAGTAGCCCTGCCCGGCAGGATTTCTTTTTTTTGTGGTCTGTTTGAATTGAAGCAAGTCTATAATTTACAAAATGAACACCCTGCTGTGCTGGAGAAGTCTTAAAACTAGACAATAAGAATCACAAGAAAATGTTTTGATGGGTAGTAAATCAAGTCTGAGCAGGGATCACTTTCTCAGACCTCTCCACTGTTGGACAATAGTAGGGTCGCCTTTGCTGGCCAATGGAAACAGTGATTGTTCAAGCATTCAAGTATTGGTTAAATCCACTCCTTACAGACTCTAGTTCACAGCTTGTTCTAAGCAGCCATGAAATCCACAAAGTCACATTTTTAAAAGTTAAACTGGCTCCATCAGCTTAACTTTACCTGTCCTTTGTGGAACTTTAACCCTCCTTGGATGCTTGAGTAAAAAAAAAACAGTTTCCACTTTGCATGTCCTGCTATTAGTCAAAGGTGTTTTCCTTTAACCACGACAACAATTTTTATGAAACTGTAACCGCGTAGTTTCAATCCAACCATATTTCAACAACAGCTGTGCCAGATTAAGAAGACAATCTGATGAGTCATTTCTCACGGCTGTGACCCACTTTGGTCTGCGGGGACTTTATGAGTCGGATCTTAATGGGCCTGATTTCCAAAGATTACACATAACTCATCACTAAATTGCATGTACAATCTGACAAATTGCACACTTGGTTGGTGTGCATTTTGCAGGTGGTCAGCCAGGAATAACTGTGAGAATGACATCAGGTGCAAATACTGTGGAGACGATGAAGTTAAAATTGGGGTTTGTGTGTTGGAGCGGTTTATGCTATGAAGACTGACGGTAAACACAAAATAAAAATCAGTCCAACTAGAGAGGCAACATAAAAACACATCAAAATTTAATGTGTGATTTCAAACAAAGAGTTCTACTGACAGGAACACGATATGGGGGAGCGCAGGTTAACGCAACAACAAAATATGAAATTAAATGAACAAGAACCAAAGAAAAACTGGCTTATAGTCAAACCACAGCAAATAAAACAGGACATCCCCAACCCACTCCCCAAATCAGCCAAAATCAACATGCACTCCTACTGAACCAGAATTTCATGCACAAACTAAAACCAGTTTGCAGCCCCTTCACATGGATCATTGTCTATTGTTGCAGGAGGTGCAACCTGTGTCCACTGTGACATGGGCGCTCAGGAGAGGCCTTTGTGCTGCTATTGTGCACTTCAGACAGGTGGTCAATGCTGTTCCCAGTCTGAAAATGGCCATAAATGCCCAGCAAAAGGAATTGAAGTTGAGGTTTTGTCATATTTTGTGCACTGAAAGAGACCAGAACTAGAGGAGAGAGATGAAGAGGAAAAATGTAATATTGGCAAACAGAGGGAAGCATGACAAAAAAAATTCATTTGTTGTTCTACAGTGGCTGTGATTGTTTGGCTAAGATAAGTGTGTGTTAACCA